AACACACAGCAAAGGCGGCAAACCAAGTCTGAGAAGGCTTCCCAGCAGAAGAGCTGTCTCAGCTGAGAACTGAAGGATCAGAGTACATTATACTAGACAGAGGGAAAGGAGTGCAAGAAAAAATGTGTTCTGGCAGAAGGATGGGTATGGTAATGGCTAAGAGGCAAAGGAAGGCCTAGCACATTCATAGCATCATCAGTGGGTTCTACAAAGTTCAGTATGGTTGGAGCCTAGAATGCAAAAACAAGTGTTGAGAGTTGAAAGTGCAGACATCCTACCTGCCCCACCCAGCCCAGGAGAGCAGACTGTAGCCCTAGATCTCCCCAATACCTCAGTTATTTGCACACACTTATAATGAATATCTGCTATTTCTGCCTGCCCAGTATCCTACCCTCTGGCTTCTGGCAATAAATCATCATCTTTCCTCTGATGAACTTCCCTGCCCTCTCTGTTTATATATCATGTGTGGGACCAACCCCATCCCTTGCTCTAAGAATGGGCGCAAAATTTAGACCTGGATAGTAACAGTCTTGCATCTCCCTGGCCATGGTGATTAATTCAGCAGTCAGCACATGTCCAGAGACATTCCAAGAAGCATGCACCCAGACTCATGCTTGAACTACTGGGAATGAAGGATGCTTTCCATTGAGTTGACTGAGATAATGAAGTATCAACCTGGAGCTACAGGCAGCCATCTGTCCACCACCACTTATTCATTCAGTAATAGTTTATTGAATTACTATTATGTGCCTCATGCTTCTGTAGGCTGTAGGAATATAGAAATAAAGGACATAATTCTATTTCTTAGGTTTTCACCATTAACTGGAGAGGCAAATAAAGTTAACCAATCACTTTAACAGAATGTGACAAGTGTTAGGGTAGAGCTTACGTAGATGACATATGCACAGGAAAGGGCAGCCAACTCAGAGAAGGCTTCCCGGGGAAGAAAGCACTCATTGAACCTTATTGGCCAATTAGGACTTAGCCGGGTGAACTGGGGGAAAAGGTGGGTCCAGAAGAGGAGTCAGAAGTCCATAGGCATGGAGGGGAGGTTCAGCTGTGTGGGTTCTGGTGACCCACCATATTCCATCAGGCTAGAGGGCAGTGCCCATTCAGAGAAGTGAAAGAGAGGAGGCCAGATGAGCTGGGACTGAATGGTGGAGGCCCAGATTTTTGCTGAAGACTATGAGGGGCCTCTGGGAGATTCAAAGCAGGTGGGTGACATCACCAAGTTGGCATTTTAGAAAATCAAACAAGTCACGATTTAGAGAATGGTTTGTGGAGCGCTAGACCGCGGGCGGTGTGAGCCTTGGAAGGTAGTTGCCTTCATCCTCCCTAAGTCAATGCAGACCAAACTAAAGCATTGGTGGAGGGGGAAAGGTGGCAGGGGGTGGGTGTCAGATTCAAAAAACAGCAAAGAGACAGAATAAATAGGATGCATGTGTTGCCTGAGGGACAACACACTGGAGGTGTCTCGGGCAGTGAATATGAGTCAGGGGCTCCAGAGAGAAGTCTGCGGAGACACATTTGTGGTGGGTGGTATTCATTTGTTTACACAATCCTTCCTTCCTGAAGATGTGTATGCATCTTGATTTAGGTGTTATCAGCACACAAGTGATCATTAAATCATGGGTATGAATGAGATTATCAAAGAAGAGTACAAACTTCAAAATAAGAAAATAATAGTTTAAGATGAAAAGCAGAGAAAGAGAAGTCCATAAAGACTGAGAAGGCAAAGTCAGAACAGCATCAAGGCAACCAAGGGAGGAGAGAGTGTCAGGAAGGAGAAAGAGACAAAAAGAGCAAATACAGTAAGAGATCAAGGTATGTAAGAACTTCAGAGTGGGCCGGCCCCGTGGCGCACTGGATAAGTGCGCCGCTTGGGAAGCGCGGCGGCGCTCCCGCCTGAGGGTTCGGATCCCACATACAGACCGGTTCCTGCTCACTGGCTGAGCGAGGCGCGGGGGCAACGCCGAGGGTTGCAATCCCGTTGCCGGTCCCCGGTCCGGTACGGGGGCAACACTGAGGGTTGCGATCCGTTGCCAGACACGGAAAAAGACAAAAGAAAGACAAAAAAAAAAGAACTTCAGAGTGTCCACTGGCTTCCACAGAGGTGGTGGAAGAGTCAGAAAAGGGAGAGAACAGTAAAGAGAGATCGTGTTCATTCATTAGCTAGTTTGCTTGTTGGCGGGTTGGTATAAAATGCAAGACGCTTGAACATGTTTTTACCTATGCTGGAAAGCCAGTGTGAGGGAGAGACTGGGACACGGGGGGTGAAAGGGACTGAGTGATGAATGCAGTGGTCTTTGAGGAGGCTGAGGGGATGGATAGTCCAGGAGAAGGGGTTTGTCCTGGGGCAGGAAGCTCCCCTCTGCCTTTGGGCAGGGAAGGGACAGCAAGAGATGTAAGACTGCCCTGCAGATAATTCTATGAGCTAGGCTAAGCAAGGTTAATAGGGAAAAAGGGTGTATGCTAATTATGTTTTTTAAAAACTGATTTTATCCATCATTCTACTGAAACACGTTATGAGACTCCCACTACTTCCGAAGTCAAAATTGACTGAGTTGACGGTGACGAGTATCAGGAAGCGGAGGATGCAACACACAGCCTCTGAGGGTGGGTATTCTCTATTCTATTTAAAATCACAGCCTGGCTTATCTTTTGACTCAATTAAATTTCTTTCAAGCCTTAAGCCTGTGGGTCACACCTATTTCAGGCAATTTCATTTTTCTTAGTGTCCGGCTTTTGCGTCTTTGCCCCTCAAGAGTCAGCAGCAGTTGGCAAGGTACTTGTTCCAATCAATAACCATTTGAAAATAGAAACTCAGATATTTAAGATGAGCCTGTGTGGAATCACTACCTTTAAGACATCTTTCTCGCAAGCAACCTTTCCTCCTACCGATATCACTTTATAAGTAGGCCCATCTAGAAGGATCCTTCAAGTTTCTGTTACAGAATGTCACAATCTGTTGAGGCCTGGTTGGTGACGTGTGAGATCCATTTTATAAATAAAACACCCATCCCCGAATTGGATGTGGAGCAAATTCAGTGCTGTGTGAGAAGCTGTTCAGCAAGTGGGAAATTCACACTAGGTGAGGAATCAATTAGTGAAGAGGTTATCCATCTCAACACATTCATTTTATAGCACATAAACTGAAGCCCAGACTGCCATATGGCTCCCTGGGATCAGTGCCAGGACCCGAATCCAGGTCTCCCAACTCCCAGCCCAGTGTTCATTCCTCCACCCATACATAACATCTGTTTTTCCTGCTAGGCAGCCACCTCCAAAGGGACAGTGGTCTCTTCTTTCTTGTCCATTTAGGTATCCCCAGCATAGAGGTGACAATCAAAAATATCTGGTTGGCCAGTTAGCTCAATAGGTTAGAGCACACAGATTTGAATCCCCATACCAGCCAGCTGCCAAAAAAATAAAAAATAAAATATATATATATATATA